AACTTCATTAGTCACATTATCATATACATCCATGTACTAAGTAGTTGACCTTTCATTTCTGGAATAATATATCAGGTAAGCATTGGAGGCATCCGTTTCTGCTTGTATATGTATGATATTAATTATTATAGACAGGCAAGGTTATCTCGCTGTCAGATACTTGTGTTGTGTGTTTTTCCCAATTGACATATTAATTTCCAAACCTAATATAAAGGCACTGCACAATATCACGCAGCGATTGGTGCCTTCGAGAGATGCAATCAACCACTACCCCACCACTCAACCCTTCATTTAGCAGCCTGTAAAAAACTTTAAGTATGCCTTTTTTTATTTTTTTACAAAGTGGGGCATGCATCAATATTCTTAAATAGTTTCAGTAAATATTTTGTATAGTAAAAAAAAACCTCTGCTTATATTCAAAGAGATGATATATATATATATATATATATTCTAAAATTCTAAATTTTGTGCTATATAATTATCTTTACTTTACGGAAATGCAATCCCAAAAGTGGTTATGATTGATTATCAATATTATTGATACATTGTATATTGTTGTAACTTGTAAGCTCTCCATTGATGGCCATGAAGGAGAAACCATGGGCTTTGGCTCTGCCACTACTGTTTTATCATTTGTGGTCCTAAACCAAGTACCATGTGATAAGTCACGTGTGCAAACCACTGAAGCGCGCGTGAGGACAATGATGCCATTGCAGATTAGTCCCAAAGTCCAACGGCTAAAAGACAACTACTTCCACTGTTTACCTTATCCGAAGTTCCTAATGAAATGTGAAAATGACACTTAGCAAAGAATTTTTTTAAAAAAAAAAAAAAACAGTTCTTCCCCTTGAAAATTACAGTGCTCTTGATGACATTTTAATTTATAGTGTTGTGTAACATATTACATTATTCTACTTTTTATTCTTCTCTTCTCGTGGAGCTCCACTAATGTTTAAGAACATATATATTTCTTTTATTATAAAATCAGATATGCTTTTGTTAATTCATATAGTATTGTAAAGTGTTTATCTCTCTATTATTGTTCTCTTAAAATTATTTCTTGTATGTTATATAACAAAATGAAAATTCTGAATATGTTGTAGAAAACATGAATAATTGAATGTTCTTTGTTTGCAACAAAATAATTGTGGGACAATGACCATACTGCCACTTTTTAGGCAAAAATTTACCTGATTGTCACTTCTGAAAAAAAAATTGCCAAAATGCCACGCCTGAATCCCGCTGGTCTGACAAGCAGGAATGGACTTGACACGTGTCAGCGTCTAAATGGTCAACCATTCTCGCTGGGCTGCCCAGCTAGAATGACAGAATGCTGACACGTGACAAAAGCAAAGGCATTCTCTGGATGTCTGTACTTTTGCCACGTGTCAGCATTCTGTCATTCTAGCTGGGCAGCCCAGCGAGAATGGTTGACCATTCAGACGCTGACACGTGTCCATTCCATTCCCGCTTGTCAGACCAGCGGGATTCAGGCGTGATATTTTGACAAATTTTTTTTCAAAAATGACAATCAAATAAAATTTTATTAAAGGAGTGGCAATATAGTCAATGTCCCAATAATTGTTGGGTTAATGGAGCTGAAAAAGAAAAGTTGAAGTTGATTGGTATTTGTTGCCGATAATGGATGAGCTGAGCATGTCTTATGTCTCATCCACTGAAGTGATGTTGATTGGACCCAATGCTTTTTCTATTCTAGACTTTTCGGGATTACCAAACCTAAAAGACAAACACAACTCCCAAACGCTTCCAGATACAGCATTATACAAGGTCTCTCTCTCTCTCAAACACTACACAGCTGTTTATTTATTGTGTTATGTCTACTATTTTATTCTTTGAATCTTTTTTTCTTTTTTATGCTATATACTGTTTTCAGTGTAGGTTTACCTAACCTTTTAGAGTTACAATCTTATTATTACTATTATTACAATACAACAAGATATAGTTAGTATTCATAAAAGAATTAATTATTAACAATTTGAAAGTGCCTCAATAAATTTTTATACACTTCTATAATTTCACTTCAATTTTATAACCTTGAATTGATTTTTTTTTCTCGTGAGTATTTCGAACTAAATACATTTTCCTTAGCTCAACTTACGTAAAACTTAATGTATCTACAATGAATTAACTATGATGATAAGAAAATTATAATCTTTAGTGAAGATAATAGTTTGAGTTGTTAATATGTTATTTGTGGAGCGAGGATCGTAATGTTTTGTCCCTGAATAAAATTATTTTCACATCTAATTAATAAATATAAAAATATCTTAAGTAAAACGTAAAACTCAATGTCAAAATATTATTAAATGGACACTTGAAATGCAAACCAAACCAGCACCTACGAAATCTACTAGTTTATTGGCGTTGCCAAATATGGTCGAGCAAAGCTTTCCTATGAGTTCAAGTAATTTTAATGATATATATTTACTCAAAACAAAACCATTTAATGAACCTAACAAAAGCCTAACGCAAGGGTGCTTATTTGAGGAAAATAAAATAAAATCCAATTGAATGAGTATGTGTTTGGATTATAGTTTAAAAAATTTGTTTTGTTTCGGTATGTAATGAAATAATTTATATTTAGAATTTTTTATTTCAAAAGTGGGATAGTTGTAAAATTCACTATAAAATTCTCACAATTTTTTTTATCCTTTGTTTGTAAATATTTGAATAAAAATAAAAATGAGGATAAACCACACACTATCCGATGCTAATGCTATAATGCAGTTCCATTTTTTTTATTTTATTTCTTAATTATTATACTTTTAATAATTAATTTTTTTATTTTTATTATTTCTTTTACCAAATTTTAAAATATAAAATAAAATTAAAGATATACCTTTTTTTAGAAAATTTTCTAGCAAATATTTGTAAGGCACTAGTTAAGGAATAAAACATTTAATATCATTAAAACTCAAAAAGTATATCAAATGTTTAAGTAATTATAGGGAATAACAATTTTGTATATGTGACAAACAAAAAAATTCTACCACAAAAAATAAATTAGTAGTGGGTCTATCATTTAATCAATTTTCTCTCTCCTTAACTTATTTTCTGTGGCAGATTTTCTTTTTCTGCCATAGTAGAAATGTTATTCCGGTAATTATAAGGATTTAATAGACAATACAAAATATTTCTAACCAGTATTTGAAAGATTCTCATTATCAAAATCATTATCTTAATTATTAATTAAAGCATAGTAACTATAAATAAATAAAATTCAAACACCCGTATATTTTCTTCCACCAGTTGTACCTTGATTAACAATGATTTAATTATTAATAGATAACGTGTGTAATTGTTTAAGAAACTACTACTTTATAGGTTATTTTGCCTACTTCCAATTTGCCTACCTTTGCCTACTCCTTTCATTACCGTTCGATTACGATCTCATCCAACGGTCAATATTTGCAATATAAAATAAGCCTTTTTTTCCCCTTTCTTTCTTCTCACTTCCTCACACACCCTTCTCTCTCCTTAGTTTTCTCTCTTCCTCGGCGGTCAATTTTGAAACCTTACGGTACTCTGATAAAAAAAGAACAAAAAGAACATACCATGTCAACCATCAATTTTGAAACCTCACTTCCTCCAAAATCTCAAAATCCCCACGGTCCATAATTCGATTTCCAAAAGATCAAAACCTGTTTGGAACGAAAGAAATTATGGGAATTTCACATCCAATTAGGTACTGTTATTAGCAGCTATAGTAGTATACCTATACCTATTCATATTATCTTCCATTGACACCTCTGCATCCGTCCACATTTTTGTCTACACATTTGTGATCTGATTTTTATTTTTCGCAACAAGTAATTACTTTACAGTATATGTTTACAGCGAGTTGATCTTCAATTGAATTAAATAAGGAAGAGCAAGATGTGATCAGTTGTTTTATGATGAAATTTTTCTTAACAGTATTCTTGATCTTTGGGAGTTCTTAATCATGTGGTAACAATGGAGATAAACAGCTACACTGCAGTGAAAAGAGTTAACGAAAATGAAACTCTTCTTCTGCTTTCTTCTAGTGACAATTTTTGGTGGTAAATCGAGAATTGGAATTTGAGAATTAGGGCACCAAACGTGAGGTGCTGCTTTTATACAACCGCTGCAGTGGGTGTTGGCGTGTCCATGACACTTGATGCTCCTGATATATCTTATTATCTTTGGGGAAAAAAATAGGTATTCATATTATCTTTGGGAAATCGAAGTATGGACAGTGGGGATTTTGAGGTTTTGGAGGAGGTGAGGTTTCAAAATTAATGGTTGTCGATGGCATGTGCTTTTTGTTCTTTTTTGATCGAGTATCGTAAGGTTTCAAAATTGACCGCAGAGGAAGAGAGAAAGCTAAGGAGAGAGAAAAGGTGTGTGAGGAAGTGAGGAGAAAGAAAGGAGGGAAAAGGCTTTTTATATTGCAAATATTGACCGTTGGATGAGATCGTAAGGGAACGGTGATGAAAGAGGTAGGCAAAGGTAGGCAAATAAGGAGTAGACAAAATAACCTATCCCATAATAAAATAATAAATATACTTCTAGTTAAAAATAAATTAAGAGTAAATATCATTTTTGGTCCTCAGCAAAATTTATGATACCCGCTTTAGTCTCTAATAAATAAAGAAGCTATTCGTCATCCCTACGAAATTCAAAGTGAACCCATTTTAGTCCGAGGAATTAATACGGCTCTTTTTTTGAATTTGTGAGGACCACAATTTTAACTAAATGGGTTAATTTTGAATTTTTTAAAGACCATAAATAGTCTTTTTATTAGCTAAGGATTAAAGCAAGCATCATTAAATTTGTTAAGCACAAAAAATATTTACTCGTAAATTAATAATTGAGGCATATCATAGTTAATTTATTTAAAAATAATGAGAAAATTTAGGTGAAAAAAGTAACCTCGTAGACCGGGTGGCATCAACCCAGCGTGTTCAAATTATGTTGTCTGTATGTAGTTGCAGAGAGAGAGAGAGAGAGAGGTCGGTCTTCTAAGGAGTCTTCTGCTTTTCAGTCCACTACGCTTCCTTCTTCCCTCTCTGTCTCTAATATCACATTCTCTTCCTTTTCAGCCAAATTATCCCTTCACGTTTTCTCCCAATTTCACCTTTTTTTTTCTGTTAAGAAAAAGAAAAGAAAAGAAAAGAAAAGAAAAAAAGTTCACCTTTTTCGCATTTCATTTCATACACGTACTTCTACTTGACTTCAAGTTTTCCTTCTAAAATTCCAACCCCTCTTTCTTAATTTCATTGATTGTTATCTTTCCCTTCCCCTTTTTTGGAATTCAAATTCTTTGACTATAGTTTTTATTATTATTGTCTGAATTCAATTTAGCTTTCCCATTGGATCACCCCACTTGGCTCTGTCTCTTCCTGAATTCCCACTTTTGCTTTTGCTTTTGCTCTCTCCTTACCTCTAAATTGAGCATTTCTGGGTTCTATTGGGCTTTGATCGAATTGGGTATTTGCAAGATCTGCGATGCCATTTGTTTGTGGCAAAAAGTTTTGATCTTGGCGGTGGACCAACCGAATTACCGGTTTGGATCCGATCGGGGTAGAAACAGCGCCATCAGATGGCGCTGTTCAGAAGGTTCTTCTACCGGAAGCCGCCGGATCGGCTTCTGGAGATCTCCGAGAGAGTTTATGGTATGCTTACTTTCTGTTTTCAACTCTTTTACTTTTCCTAAAATTTATTTATTTATTTACTATTCTTTTTTCTCTGCTTAATTGAGCTCCTGAAAGCTGAGTTTGTTGCTTTTAGGATTCGTTTTAATGTTTAGAAGCTAAATTAGTGAACTTCAATTAATATCATTTTGAAACAATGCCTATGGTAACTTGCTAGAACAATGTGGACTTTTTTTTGAACTTGAACTTCTTATTTTCTCTCTTGCTTCTTCTAGTAGGATGTAATTACTCCTGAGAATCGTAAATGAGAAACAAAACAGTATCTGAGTCACAGTGGTCAGTCATCAATTAGGAATGCTAGATGATGATTTCTGGAAGATATTTTAAACTTACACAACTGTCCTTTAAGACATTATAGTTTACTGCTTGCAACAGTTGCTTATTTTTACATTGTAGGGAAGATGGTAATTGGCAGAATGAAATGGCTTCCTATGTTAATTCTTAATTGTCTAGGCTTGATATTTTTAAGTTTCTGTATGAAAAATCAATTTCCTCTGCGCTTAGTGTCTTTCTTTTCTTTTTTTTCTTCCTAATTTATTATTGAAATGAAAACTTGGATTTTGAATTTGTTAATACGTTTTCTAGTTCTGTGCTCCTGCTTGACCATAATATTTGACTATTCCTAACCTGTTTTTGCAGTTTTTGATTGTTGCTTCTCCACGGATATCTTGGGAGAAGATGAATACAGAGCTTATATGGGGGGAATTGTGGCTCAGCTACAAGATCACTTTCCAGATGCTTCTTTCATGGTGTTCAACTTCAGAGAAGGGGAGAGACGCAGCCAAATCTCAGACATACTTTCTCAGTATGACATGACAGTTATGGAGTACCCTCGGCAATACGAGGGTTGTCCCCTTCTGCCTTTAGAGATGGTCCATCACTTCCTTCGATCAAGTGAAAGCTGGTTGTCTTTGGAGGGGCAACAGAATGTGCTTTTGATGCATTGTGAAAGGGGAGGTTGGCCTGTGCTGGCATTTATGCTAGCAGGTCTTCTATTATACCGGAAACAGTACAATGGGGATCAGAAGACTCTTGAAATGGTCTACAAGCAAGCTCCCAGAGAACTTCTCCACTTTTTATCTCCTTTGAACCCACAGCCTTCTCAGTTCAGATATCTTCAGTATATTTCTAGGAGACATTTGGGTTCTGAGTGGCCACCATCAGAAACACCCTTGTATTTGGATCGTCTGATTCTTAGCGACCTTCCATTATTTGATGATGGAAAAGGTTGCAGGCCTGTTGTACGTGTTTATGGTCAGGACCCTTCAAGCCCTGCCAATAGAAGTTCAAAGCTTCTTTTTTCAACTTCAAAATCCAAAAGGCATGTTCATCACTACCTACAGGTGCTGTATAAATTTACACTATTGATACTGAAATTGCAAATTAGTTAGATAGAGTGGACTCTTAATAAATTTTAATCACAGGCAGAGTGTATGCTCGTGAAAATTGATATCCATTGTCGTGTTCAAGGGGATGTGGTTCTTGAGTGCATACATTTAGATGAAGATTATATTCGTGAGGAGATGATGTTTAGAGTTATGTTCCATACTGCATTTGTGCGGTCAAATATATTGATGCTGAGCCGTGATGAAATTGATATTTTGTGGGATGCAAAGGATCAATTTCCCAAGGACTTCAAAGCAGAGGTAAGTTATTGTTATTCTTCTGCAAAAGCCATTTTCTGAACCAGTAGAAGTTGAAAAATACTTATATCTGTATCAGGTGCTTTTTTTGGACGCTGATGCTATTATACCTGATCTAACCACAGTCACGGTGAGTGAAGATGCAAATGAGACTGAAAGTGCTGACACAGAAAGTGCTTCACCTGAGGAATTCTATGAAGTGGAAGAGATTTTCAGCAATGTAATTGATGCACAGGAAGGTAAGGGGGAGTATGATTCTCATGCTTTTCATGACAATGCAGTGGATGATGCAAATCATAAAGAGATTTGGAAGGAAGAAGTGGATCCTCATACTTTTCAGGATTGTACACCAGATGATGGGATCCACAAACAGGTTGACAAGATGGATTCTGGTATTAATGTGGTGAAAGACATCTCTGTTGATGATGTGAACTACAAGTTCAATAAGAGCATGGATTCAGATGCAGTGAAGGACATTGCTGTGGATGATGGAGAAATTAAGTTAACTTCCCCTTCAGTCACTTCCGATGTGATGAAAACTCTGGAACCAAAGGAAGTCACTGTGGATGTGCACAGGGATTTGGAAGTTATGCAAAACAAATATGATGAAGATAACGAAGCAACAAAAAATGAATTAGACTCCAAGGCAGGGCAGCAGATGCCTGATATTTCCAAACAAAAATCTGGTAAACTACTTCCATCTACTGCCAAGAAACAGCTTCCATTAAACTCAAAGCCAGTCGGAGATATACTTGCAGCAAAGCAAAAGGTTAAACAACAAGACACTCAAGGTTTTCAGACAAAACAAGCCAAACCGAATGCAGTAACTAGGTGGATTCCTTCTAACAAGGGTTCTTACATAAATTCAATGCATGTGTATTATCCACCATCAAGGAATAATAGTGCACCAGCTGCATTGTCAAATTTTACCTCTCCAAAGGAGAAAATGGAAGATGCCAAAGCAAGATCTTCTTCTGCTCCTCTTGTCTCTGCAATTGTTTCTATTGACATGACAAATGACCAGAAAAGCCGTAAGTTAACCACTTCAAAATCTTCTGGCTACTCAATAGCAGAAATAGATGCAAACTGTCCACCATCACCGTTAGTGTCAATTAAAGAGACATCTCTTCAATCAGTTACTCAAGCACAACAATTGAGCTCAGAGCAAGTGCTACGGCCTCCCCCACCGCCTCCACCTTTGCCTCCAACTCATGCAAGAAACTCTTTACATGTTTTTGAACCTTTATCATTACAGAATGTTGTATCACCTCAAGCTCATCCATCTCTACTAGTAACATCATCTTCTTTGGGTGGAAAAGAGTCTATTGCACAACCGTTAACACATCCGCCACCACCGCCAACTTTAACATCATTTACTAGACCAGAAGTTAGAGAGTATTTACTATCTAGAATTTCTCCTCCCCTTCCCCCTCCCCCTCCCCCTCCCCCTCCGCCCCCATTTTTTGGGCAAAATAAAAAGAGCTTATTACCTTCTCTACCCCTTTTGAAGTCGGTGGGTTCATCAATAGTTGGAGATACTAGTGGTTCTTTATCACCTTCTCTACCCACTCTTCCTTCATGGTCTCCACCTCCACCACCACCACCACCACCACCACCACCACCAATGCCTCCTCTAAGGTATGCAGTTTCATCCACTCCTCTTCCTCCTCCTCCTCCTCCTCCTCCTCCTCCTCCACCACCGCCACCGCCATCAACAACACCTCCTCCCCCTCCCTCATTTCCTACATCTTTGACACATAAGGCTCCAAACCCTTCGCTCCCACTACCCTCCACTGCATCACATGAAGCTCCATTGGCACCCCCACCTCCACCTCCACCTCCACCTTCTTTTAGTAGAGCTCAACCACTGCCTCCTCCACCTCCTTTTAGTAGAGCTCCGCCTCCATTGCATGGAGCTCCACCTACACCTTCCCGACCACCACTTCTTCCTTCATCAGGTGTTGCCCCACCTCCACCTCCTCCTCCTCCTCCAACGTCTAGAGCCCCACCTCCCCCACCCCCACCAATTCGTGGAGCACCACCACCACCTCCTCCAATGCCTAGAGCACCGCCTCCTCCGCCTCCACCTGGTGGACGAGGCCCACCCCCTCCGCCTCCGCCTGGTGGTCGAGGCCCAGCTCCTCCACCTCCCCCTAGTGCTCCTGGTGCTCCACCTCCTCCTAGACCTCCTGGTGGTGCACCTCCGCCGCCTCCACCTTTAGGTTCCAAAGGTGCAAATCTTGTAGCTGATTCGAGAGGGAGAGGGCGTGGATATGCACGCTCTGCAGGAGTTGGTGCAACGGCATCCCGACGATCCTCCTTAAAGCCTCTACATTGGAGTAAGGTTACAAGGGCACTACAAGGAAGTTTATGGGAAGAATTACAAAGACATGGAGAGCCTCAAATGTAATTTCTCTCATCTACTATAGCATATGTTTAAACCATTTCAATTTTGTATAATTGTACATTGTCCTTCTTGCTTTCTATATCCCTAAGTTTTATAATGACTGATTTTACATTCTATCTTAGTGCACCAGAGTTTGATGTTTTAGAGCTAGAGAAGCTTTTCTCTGCAAATGTTCCAAAACCCGTTGATTCTGGAGGGCGGCGCAAGTCCGTTGGATCTAAAACTGACAAAGTCCACTTGGTATCCTCCTATATGAATATTCTTGAAATTCAATTTTTGAAATAAGTCATGTGTGAGAAGTGATTTGATGGGTTTCAATTAGTCGTTTCTTCTATAAGTGTAACTCACCATGATTTGTAGTTTTACTTCACAGAGGCTGCAAAGTTCAACACTAGTTTCATATTAAAATTAGAATTTCATGCCATTTATTTGCATACTTTGTGATTTATTCATTAAAAGAAGTTATCTTCATTGTGACCTGACTTCATTGATCAGATGCATGTGGTTAATTTGTGGAGGAAACACAGTATACTTTTCTTTAGCATTGTTGATACATAATCGGATAAGTATTGTTGCTGTACTGGTTATGTTAACAAAAATTATTGTTTTGTTATTGTCACTTTAGTTCACTGCCTCTTTCATGTTCCATTAATTAAAGTTCTGATGCTCCAAATTTAACAAATTGTAAGGTTCACATGTTGGGAGCCCCCTAATTAGGAAAGTATGTTAGAAGAAATAATGGTGGACCCAAAGAATCATGTGGGCCAGCTTCTGTTAATTAGGCCTAGTTAGTTCCCAAACTAGGGGGTTAATAGGGGTAGTTAGGGAAATCCCAACAGAATTAGTTAGTAGGTCAATGGGATTATAAAGAGGGTTGAGGGAATACATGTAGAGGCCTTGGACTAGGATTTCCCTGGAGGTTAAGAGAGTTTTGAGAGAGAGTCTTTGTAATTTTGTACTTTACCCATAAGGAAATTCATCCATTCTGTGAGGGGAAGAATTAATCAATAAAGATTTAATCAAGATTGAGCTTATACCCTGTATTTTCTCAATTCCAAATTCTCAATTCTCAATTCTCGAGTCAGTTTCTATCAGCATATTGGTGCAGCTTTTTGCCTGTTAGTGCTTAAAGCCAACATTTGTTAGAAACTCATTGTCTTGATGTTTATTTGGTATTTCCTTAATAACCAATCAATAACTTGTTTGTTTGTATTATTGATTGTAGATTGACCTAAGGAGGGCTAATAATACTGAAATTATGCTCACTAAGGTTAAGATGCCACTTCCTGATATGATGGTAAGCTAATACTTTGATGTATAATTATGCAAGATGGGTTATTTAAGTTAAAGCATTTTATGATGAAAAGAGTTATTCTCTTGCAAGAAGCTTTGCAGTGAAAATAATTATTTTTGTTTGCATTGAGGCTGGTTCTTGATATAATCTCTATATGTGGAAAGTTAATACTAAAGGCCACTGGTAGTAGATATTGCCTGTAACAATCTTTTGCCATATCATTTCTGCTTAAAACTTTTTCTAACTTCTCAAATCTCCACCTGTAACTAAAAGTGGTAAGTATTATCTTTTCTAACATGTTGAAATGGATATTCTCAGGCTGCAGTATTGGCCATGGATGAGTCAGTATTAGATGTAGATCAGGTGGAAAATCTCATTAAGTTTTGTCCTACCAAAGAGGAGATGGAACTTTTGAAGGTGAAGCTGAACAAATTTATCCATACTTCTCTTGTTTTGACTATTAAGGGTTCTAGTTTCTAGCATCTCCTATTACACTATAATATATCCTTTTACTCTAATTTGCTTTTCTAATTTTGGTTCCTCCCTTTTATGATTATTTAGGGGTACACGGGTGACAAGGAGAATTTGGGGAAGTGTGAACAGGTGTGCAATAATTTATTTTAGTCATAGCATTAAATACGACAGTTATTAATAGAAAAATGTTAGCACATAGAGTTATATGGGATGCCTTTTGTATGCGTTGGTGTCATCAGTTTTACATGAGGGATGATTGAGTTGTTTTGAAAGTAAAATTTCCGTAAGTGTATTAGTGATGGGATAAAATTCTCATGCTTTAATTTGAGAGGAAAATTAAATGTACAATAATAACAAAACTATCAAGTACAGTTGATTTGTTAGGCCATCATTGCTTGCAACAAAATCTGGAATGGAGGTGAAAGGAATAATGTTGCCAGCTACAAGAAAGAGCTGAAAATTCTTTTTAAGAAAAACAATTGGTGGAATGTCAATTGGAATTTAATAATTATAGAAGTCTTGGTATAAATGGTTAGTTCCAGATATTGAAGCATTACATGATGCAATTGAATAAAAATCACTCCCTATTAAACCCTGACTAGTGAGGGCGGGGGTGAGGGCAATCCTTGTGAGCCTTACCCTTGCAAATTTACAAAGAAGCCATTTCCTAAATTCGAATCCATGACCTTTCAGTCACAAAGCAGCTTTGTCATTGCTCTAGGCTCGCAATTGAATGAGGCTTCAATTTTGGAGGTGAATCTAACATTTGATTATAATGATAGGTAAAATTGTTGAATACAATCTAGTTCATCGAAAAGGCAACGAAAATAAATTTAGAGCTCACATACTGATAAAGTGACAGTTTGGTTGATAGTGCCTGGTTGCTTGTGGTAGAAAATATGGTTTAGCATTTACAAATCTACACCTTTCCCTTTAGATATTTGGTTAAAAACCAATTCTTTTGGTCTTTGTTAATTTAGATGATATTATGTGTGTGTGCGTGCGCATGTGTGTATGTGTGTATATATATAAATTATAAACCACTCCCCATTAAACCCTGACTTGTGAGGGTAGGGGCGGGGAAATCGTTGTATGCAGGCTTACTCTTTTATTTTTGCAAAGAGACTGTTTCCTAGATTTGAATTCATGACCTTTCCGTCACCAGGAGCAATTTTATTATTGCTCTAGGCTTGTCCTCTTTTATAGTAAGCATATTCTTATATTTTGTTGAGATATATAAAACCATTAATGTAACCTCACCCAACAGCTTAAGCTTTTGGGTTGAATTGGTTCTTTACATGGTATCAGAGCCTCGTGTCCCGTGTTCTATCCTCGCCGCCCCCGCTTTCTTTCAAGTGGAATTTCTTTGTTCGCACAGGTAGGTGGGCTTGTGCATTGTCCACCCTTCAAGTCCAGTGGGCTCTCGTGTGAGGGGGCGTGTTGAGATATATAAAACCATTAATGTAACCTCACCCAACAGCTTAAGCTTTTGGGTTGAATTGGTTCTTTACATATTTATTTGGTTATTTTTCAGTATTTTTTGGAGCTCATGAAGGTGCCAAGGGTGGAGTCAAAATTAAGAGTATTCTCTTTCAAGATTCAGTTTGGTTCTCAGGTTTGGTGGTGTTTGTAATATTTTTCTGAGTGTTTTGTGGATTTGGTCTTTTCCTTTGGTTAGCATACTTTCTTCTATATGCAGGTTACAGAATTTAAGAAGAGTTTAAACACTGTGAACTCTGCCTGTGAGGAGGTACTTTACTTATGCAACTAACAAACATTATATTGCGAGTATTTCGTTGACCTTATGCATTTTTGTGTTGGTAATAGGTCCGAAAATCTGTCAAACTGAAGGAGATCTTGAAGAAAATTCTTTATTTGGGTAATACGTTGAATCAGGGAACAGCAAGGGGTAAGTCTTTTTTAGCTGTGGCAATATCCTTATCATTATTCATTTCTGGACCTAGTATGCATATATGGTGCTAGCTCTATTTTTAACATTTAGATAAACACTGGCTGTTCCTATTTGTCAGCAGTCAAACTTTTATATGATTCTGTTAGATCTTATCTAATGTTGAATGTCTTAAATATTAGTATAAAATGTTTTCACTTTTGCAGGATCTGCAGTTGGATTCAAGTTGGATAGTCTTTTAAAGCTCACTGACACTCGCGCTTCTAACAATAAGATGACACTGATGCATTATCTATGCAAGGTATAAGTATCAATTGTAACAAATGAAGATATTTTTTGGTCGCTAACCTCTATTTTTCTCCTAGGTTATAGCTGAAAAGTCAACTGGACTCCTTGATTTTCACCTAGACCTTGTTAGCCTGGAAGCTGCCACTAAGGTGATAATTTATTTTCGGTTCTTTATAGCCAAAAAAGTGAAGGTCAACTGCACTCTACTAGCCTGGTTTATGGTTCAGTTTTGCTTTTCCCTCTTATTTTAAAAATGAACACATTCCCTCCTGTTTTAGTGACTTCTTACAATGGCCTATCTTAGGAACTAAGAGTTAACTCAGTTTTGGAAGCTGATGAGATGGACAGTGACTCAAAAAAGACCAAATTACTTCTTTCAATTATCATAAAAAATCACCCTTGGATACCAAAGCTCATCCCTTTGGCATAGTCGTAAAGTCTTTTTGAGTCCTTTACCTGCCAAAAAAAACACATTGGACTTTACAAAAATCTGTGTTAAATAAAGTGACGATATACTTAATATTATAATTAATAAGGGAAAGTGCAATCGGACTTATTTAAAGTAGGGTGGCAAACTGCGTTTGACCCAAACAGGAAAAGGCCATTGCAAATAACTTCCTTCAATTTTGGCCCTTTGGCAAATGTCCCCAGTTTGGAATTAATCCACTTAAAATTTATGTGCAAAATATCCCCTTTTAGTCCTAAAGTGTGCAAATTTAGAATCCTTATTTGAAAATGCAACTGTGAGTAATCACAAAATCAAGAGAAATTTCACCTAGTAGCGCACATGTTGAATCAAGTTCCAGTAAAATGCCTATTCATTCAAACCACATTTCTTGTTTTCTTTCACTTAATGGTTTCAAGGAGCAATTTGCTAGATGTTGAAAAATTGGGTTAACTGCAACCCTCAATTATTTAAGGAACCAAGTTAAAGTGGTTATTTGCAATTTAGCTGAAAGAAAATGCTGTTGGGACTATCTAACTTCTGGTATTAGGTAATGATATTACAATGTGTATTGATTGGAATCCGTACTTCTTTCAGATACAATTGAAGTCATTAGCAGAAGAGATGCAGGCAATCATCAAGGGATTAGAAAAGGTTAAACAAGAGTTCACTGTATCTGAAAATGATGGACCCGTGTCAGAAGTTTTCCGTAAGGTGTTTTGCATTTTTATGTCAGGCTCGAGTCTTCATTATATGATAGTTCAATTTCAAAAATGAATTCACAGTACTGGTTTTCCTGCATCATGAATGCAGTTGATAGTGTAGTTATTGACAACTAGCATCATCAATTAATTGAAGTTTATGGACGAATGTGGGTAGTTCTTTTTAGATCTGTAGATTTGCAGGCTTGGGCAGATTTTTTCTTAAATTGTTCTTCATATTCAACAGTTGAGTTTTATTTTTTTTCAGTCTTTTGATTTATAAACATCAATATCAAAATCACCTATATCCCAAATTAGTTGTGGTAGGCAGTTTTGATTTATAACAGAGATATAAATTTACATTTAATGTGAAGTTAGCCAATACAATTTTTTTTTTGGTATCATCGGTATCAGATCACCAACAGGCGTCGACTAATCCAGATTCGAGTCAAGTAGGACCACAAGGGCGGAAAATCTCTCTCTACCAAGTTTTAACACAGTTGTATTCTCAGGGTTTGAACTCGAGACCACTTATTAAGTTGGAATAACTCCCTGCTAGTTAATCCTTGTGCTTGGTGGTAGCCAATACAATTTTTGTATTGGCAGTTTTGCACATCCTTCCCCCTTTTAAGTACAGGGTGAATTATGGTACCAAGACCCACTCAATGCACCCATTGGCTACTTGATGTAGAGAAGTAAGATACCTTCTGATAGAACTTGTAAGGAAATTTATTGTGGATTTAAGCAACAGTTCTCAGAAGCCCACCAATTTGTTTTGATTTAATTTAATTTAGGGCACTAGCCTACTAGGGTTATTTATTGAATTGAGCTTGAGTATATGTACTTTTTCTTTAGCTTCCAGTTTCGATCCACAGAAAGGGTTACATCAATTGTTTATGCAATAGTAGATGTTACAAATTACAAATGATGAAATTACTGTGAGGGAGAACTGGAGGAGAATATTTTAGGGTGACCACCTGGGTTTAGAATTGGACAACAGAATCCCAGAAGAAGCTCAATGATAGAAACTGGTTCAAGATTGAAAGAAAATCAAGAAAGAATTGGAATCTTATTACTGCAGCCTCTTCCTTACGATCTTGATCAAGGTCTGTATGGCAAAGAATGGTGGAGTATTACAACGGAGGTTTTCCATCTATCTCTCACAATTCCAGGGTTTTCTTCCTGTCCCTCTCTACTCAACTCATCAACTAACTCACTTCACTTACAGTCTCTCCCTATATTTATATCCTACCTCTGCACTGCAGTTAGAGGGCTAACTAACTATAACAACTTCTCTAACAATTTTAACTAATAAAGGCTGGTCCACTTGGCTCTTTGGGTGTATGCTTATTTCTTCTAATATATACTTTCCTAATTGGGGGTTGCTAACACTCAAAACCCTATACTTGCAATTGAAAACAAGAAAGCAGTAGCTGTCTACACTTTAAAAGACTTGTTGAGAAAGCAGTTTTATGTTCTTCCAAGTTTTAACTGTACTGGTTGGGTGTTTATGAGTTATTTGGTTAGAGCATGATGTTCATATTTATAAGGAGTTCTAATTCCCTAAACTCATATGGGATATGATTGTGTTTTTTTTATTCTCTTTGGTGTTCTGCTCATGCTTATTTAAAGCATGTTGCGATTTCTAATATGGAGAGGGATTGGGAAGCCACGGTGCATTCCTGATTTTTTTTCATGCTCATTGTTGTATCTTGACTTTTTAATTTTTGGAGGTGCTTTCTGTCTTTTCTTTCTATTTAATCTTTATTTTTTCCTTCCGAAAATTTGTGTTATCTGATTCTGAGTTAACATTCTTGTTGAAATTTAGGGATGAGATGGCATAGGGATAGAGAGGGAACGAAAGAAAACATATTGCATTAATGGAACTCTGAATAATTTTGTTATATAATACTGACTTAGATGACAAGCCCTTTATTTTGGGTGCACTGCACTGTCTTACAACTTAAGCAAGACTTTCCTAAATACATAATAAATTATATTTCTCAATAATTCCAAATGCTGATTTTTTTAACCTATTTTCACATTGGTTCCAAGTTGTTCTTTGTCTGAACTTTTTTCATGTCAATATGGTTACTTATCAGTTTCATCTGAATTCCAATGGCAATATGCCAATGGAATGTTTGTCTGAACTTTTTTCATGTCAATATGGTTACTTATCAGCTTCATCTGAATTCCAATGGCAATATGCCAATGGAAAGAGTGGCTATTAGCCCTTTATGATGACCAGAGAAACATAAATCTCCATATGTTTCTTGGTCTTGCATAAACATTGATTATGTGTCAATTGGAAATTAAGGAGAGCTTTAATTTTCTTTTTTATCAATGAACAAATTTTCCATCATATTACATAGACGAATCTATTTTTACTTTATATGGTTTGTTATCTGATTTACATTTTCAATGCGTTTGACTCATTTTTTTTTTTAATGTTCTTTTCAGACATTGAAGGAATTCATAATTGTGGCTGAGTCAGAGGTGGTATCTTTAACAAGCCTATATTCAGTGGTGGTAATATGCTTAACCATCTTCTTGGTACGGTATGCACCAATATAAAGAAATTAAAAGATTGTGTAATTTGTTGATCAGGGTAGAAATGCAGATGCACTTGCACTATACTTTGGTGAGGATCCTGCTCGTTGCCCGTTTGAGCAGGGTAAGTTGTTTAATACTTATTCATGTTTTTGGTGTGGCATATGGTCATTGGTCTTTGTTACTGGTGAGTGGTGAGTGGTGACTTGTTTATCAGATTATAGTTCATTAACTTCATTTAACTGATATTTCTGGGGAAAGTACATTTTGGCGACCTGTTGCATTTATGGTTTGACTAGTGTGTACTTTCTAGAAATTAGGCTGATTTAGAAGTGAGTTTTCTTGTCTAGGGTTAAGGAAGAATGTTTGTAAGCTTTTTTTGGGTAATGTTTTTAACGGCATCTGCGCCAAGCTACTTAGAAGCTTTCTGTAGAATGATATGTGTGGTAATAAGTTGCTGAATTGATAGAAATGCCTGTCCTCCTTGGATCCTCGTGTACGCATTGCAGCAAAAGAAAGAAAGGTTACAGTTACAGAAGGGTAGGGGGTGAGAGAGAGAATAGTCAAGGAATAATAAGATAAATGGAGGGAAAGATCTCTATGGGAGGACTGAACTGAATGAAGTTTCATCATCCATGTGTATTTCTGTTATTTTGGATCAAGTAGTGATATGTTCTCTTTCCTATAATGCTCAAGCTAACTTCTTATTGTTGCTGGTTTGACAATTGCAGTTACTGCAACTCTCTTAAATTTTATAAGGTTGTTTCGGAAAGCACATGAAGAGAACTGCAAACAAGCAGAGTTAGAGAAGAAGAAAGCTGAGAAAGAGGCTGGAATAGAAAAGGCCAAGGGCATTAACTTGACAAGGAAGAGTGCAAAAGATAGTTGACGACTGGGTTTTCTGCTCCTTTGCACTGACATCATGCACTTGCCAGAGAGCAGGAATCTACCCATGTAAGGGGAATGCTTCTGAGACCAGTTTAGAAGCCTCCCTTTCTACGATGATGATGTGATAATTAGCCTTGCAAGCTGATCTATTGAGGTGGAATAGCAGAACCTTTGAACATGCAACAGGCTCAGGAGATGTCATGCTGTTGAATCAGATTTATATGGCCAGTTGAAAGTCCAAATTTAGACGCAGAATGGATGCTTACTGTGATTGATTGAGATGCCATATGCATCCAGTGAATGCTATGAAAATGATAGATCTGGTCCCTCTCATGTTGATTCAAGAAGAAATTTTGTACTAGAGCATGTCTTGTATTGCAGTAGAACTGGCATTGACTTGCATCTTCATTTTGGCATATTTTTCTTGCACCAGGGCAGATGCTTTTTGGATTTGCAGAGCACCAAAGTCCAACAGTAGTACCATGAAACCTTGTACAAAGCACTAACCCTCTCTTTTAGGATCCGATTCTTTCTCATGTAACATAGAAATTAGTTTTCTTTCCTATAGAGATTTTGGTAGACACCCTCGAGAAAATGTTGTATAGCTAGGTGTGAGGTTAAGAGAAAATAGAAATCAGGGGACTGTATTGTAACTGTAATATATGTAAACAGCAGGCCGAGTTAGAAATGCTAGGTAGGTTCATTTTTCATGTGAAATACAGTATGTATTAGTGAAGTGTAAAATGTTCATGAAATTTACAGCGCTGGATTATATGTTCACATATTGTAGTAGTATAGAAACAGTGAAAATTCAGAGGTATTGCAACTATTTAATGCTGAGACTTCATTTGGGGTTGTCATTCAGAATTTTTCTTTTAAATTATAGAAAGTGTCTTTTAATAGTGTCAAAGTCCAATTGCCGCATTATATTTATAGAAGGGTTGGTGGTGTTGGTGAGTTTAGGAATTTAATTTGTTATCCTAATTTACATAACCTTGCATCCTGTCTTGTTATTAAATTCACGTATCCTAGTGTTTTGTGCAGAATATTCCAAGGGCCAGTAGATGGCATTTCACCTCGAATCGTTGAACTACCTCACGTATAAATCACTTATTAATATTCTGTACGTAATGGTATTCTACAAGCAATGAAGTGTGGCCTCAAACTCAAATGTAGTTGAACAACATAGTAATAATTCAGCTTTTTCTGAAATTAAATATGAGTTCATTAGGATTGAGTTTCGATGATCCTATGGATTCTGATCATGGTAATACGAACGTCTTATCATTCATTAGTTTTGACTTTTAAATGGTTCCTAGCGGTTTTTTATTTGCCTAAAAGCCGTGACTCTGGTAACCAGAAAAAGCAGTTAACTGGAACATTTGTATTGATATTAACACCGTAAGAGATTGCCATATCTACAAGGTAAAAGTGACAAAATCAGAAAACAGAAATGAAGAATATAACAGAAGACATATATATAAAATCTCTAGCTTCTTGTCTTTTGCACATAACTGAGCTGAGGTTGATCCGCTAAAAATCTTCATGTCTTCAAAGTTGCTCGATTTCCTTCAAGCAACATGAATGAATTTTGTAAATACCTGCTACACTGGTTTTAAAAAAACTGCTAGCCCCTTCTTCTCCATGAAACATGAAGAAAAGCCTTCACCAAATGAATAACTTGCTACTTTGATGTTACTTTATGGCAGCTCTCCGAAATCCTTGTTGCCCATGTAAGCATAATTGTCCTCATCTGGAAATTCGATCCTCAACAAATGTTTGTCCTCCTGATCAATCCATGATCCTGTCTTAAAGCTTTTGTAAAACATGCAGCTCACGATTGTGTCAAGGATGATGAAGATTGAGTACAGATAAGCAATGAAAATCCCCTCTAAAGCCACACAAGGCCCTGCCATTCCAGCAACATGATAGACCCTTACAACCCGGAACTGGAACAAGGCCTCAACAGCAGCCAGAGCCACATTAACAGGCAGTGCCAGGAACAAAGCCATTGACATCTTTCCCCTTATCAGAACACAAGCTTTCAGGATTGCTAAGTATCCTCCATGTCCCTCCATTCCAGATAGAGCCAGTGCCATATTGCATATGACAAGTGCATTGGCAAGAATCACAGAAAAGAGAACTGCCCCAGCTGCTGACATGAAGAGGAGGAGGAAACTAGGGGTAGAATAGCCAAGTCCTTCAATGAAGCTGAAGGCCAAAAACATGAGACAAAAAGCAGTTGCATTCGCTGAGAGAATCAAGAAACAGTTGTAGACATAGGTGTGGAGGAGTGGCTTGTAAAGGGATATTATTGAATTGAAGGAAGGTGGCAAAGTTGGTTTATGGTGATTGAGAGCATGGATTATGGATGCTTTTGCAATGAGGAGAAAGGTGAGTGTGAAAGGAAGGGTGAAGATTGAAGAAGTGATTGTTTGAGAAACCTTCAGGTTAAGAATGCTAAACAAGCGTGAAGAAGAAGGAAAGCCTGCAGCATCAAACAGAGTTCTCATGCGATTGTAGATTTGAGGCAAGAGGGATGAAGGGTGAGGGATTAAAGCTTGTGAGAGGAGTATTGAAGCTGAGAAAGGAAAAGCAAGAAAAGCTGCGGTTGATGTGAAGTAATGATAGTTTTGAAGAAAAATGTGAATTGATCTTCTGAGAATCTTGCTTGAAACCTCCATTGGTGTTGAGGAACTAGAAGGAGATGAATTGGGGTGGCTTCTAAGTTCTCACCAATATAGACTCTATGATATACTCAGAAGTGTACAAGCGAGGAGAATTATGTTTCCTTTTACTTCCTAGTTTTTCTTAAATGGGATTGCTCTTTCTTTTGGAAATGGTTTGTTAAGAGAGTTTAGGGGTTGGTGTTTTGGATGAATAGATAGGCCAACAAGAATAAACTAACTACTGATATGGTGGAATAGTTTGGAATTTGGACTTTGTTTTTACCAGAGGTTTTGGACACATTGTGGGTTTCTCTTTGTGTTCTACGAATCCTCACCAGTTTAAGAGGGCATAAGTAGTATATACATAGGACCTTTACCTTGGTGTCAAGATTTAATATATTAGCAATAAGCCAATAAAATAATTTGGTATGCAAGGTCTTTGGTTTTGTCTTGATGATGAGAGGTCTCTTCTCTTTCTTTTTAGATTGCTTAAATTGCACATTATTTAGGGGCTTATTATTGCTGGCTACTACCCTTTTTCAAGTCCTGGAAATATATTTATAAATCATGACAAAATGAACTATGAAGCATCATTCATGTAGGTCCCATTATCCTTGAAATTAAAGTGTCATTATAAAAATTTTAAGAGCAATTTATGACATGAGTGCAAAATAAAAAGGAAAACAACACCTTGATGAAGAAGGAATATAGAATTCAATTCAAGTTGCCGTACCGTAATATAGAATGAAGTCTGTTATAAAGTAGTAACTTGTGATGCATGCTGCTTGCGGTAGGACCACGACCCTAGTTTTGGTACTTTTCACATGATATAGGTGAGTTATACGTAGCTTGCAAGCTATATATATATATGGGTAATAGTTTTCTCATGTAGTAGGAGATAAATATTATCTCCTACAGACTCATATGTGCAGGTGGGGTCCACTTTCAGGAGGAGAGAGAAAAAGAATAAAGTGGGACCCATCTTGAATTTGTGTGTGTAGGAGATAAATTCTACCTTATGTGACATAAGAATAATAAATCCCTATATATATATATATATATATATATATATATATATATAATGACAAAAACAAATAATTTTAGATAAGAAAAGAAATATAAATGATAATAATTTTTTTTATACATAAATGATAATAATTTATATATTCTTATTATTACTAAATTGTTATTTTATTTGAAGAATGATAATTACTTAATCTCCATGTTAAAATATTCTTATATTTTAGATAAGCAAAGAGATATAAATAATAATAATAATAATAATAATAATAAAAATTTATATATTTTTATTACTTACAAAAATGTAATTTTATTTGAAGAATTATAATTAATTAATTTCCATGTTAAAATATTCTTATACTTAGATAAGAACCGAAATATAATAACAATAGTAATAATTCATATATTTTTATTACTTAATAAATTGTAATTTTATTTGAAGAATTATAAATACTTAATTTCCATGTTAAAATATTCTTACATTTTAGATAAGAAAAGAAATATAATATAATATATATATATATATATATATATATATATATATATATATTTATTACTTACTGAATTGTAATTTTATTTGAGGAATTATAATTACTTAATTTCCATGTTAAAATATTCTTATATTTTAGATAAGCAAAGAAATATAAATAATAAAAATAATTTATATATTTTTATTACTTACAAAATTGTTATTTTATTTGAAGAATTATAATTACTTAATTTCCATGTTAAAATATTCTTATATTTTAGATAAGAAAAAAAATATAAATAATAAAAATAATTTATATATTTTTACTACTTACAAAATTATTATTTTATTTGAAGAATTATAATTACTTAATTTCCATGTTAAAATATTCTTATATTTTAGATAAGCAAAGAAATATAAATAATAATGAATTATATATATTTTTTACTTTATGATTTGTTATTTTATTTGAAGAATTATAATTACTTATTTTCCATGTTAAAATATTCTTATATTTTAGATAAGAAAAGAAATATAAATAATAATAATAATAATTTATATATTTTTATTACTTACTGAACTGTTATTTTATTTGAAGAATTATAATTAATTTATTTCCATTTTAAAATATTCTTATATTTTAGATAAGCAAAGAAATATAACTAATAATAATAATAATAATAATTTATATATTTTTATTATTTACTAAAGTTTTATTTTATTTGAAGAATTATAATTACTTAATTTCCATGTTAAAATATTCTTATATTTTAGATAAGCAAAGAAATTTAAATAATAATAATAATAATAATAATAATAATAATAATAATAATTTATATACTTTTATTACTTACTGAATTGTTATTTCATTTGAAGAATTATAGTTACTTAATTTCCATGTCAAAATATTCTTATAGTTTAGATAAGCAAAGAAATATAAATAATAATAATAATAATTTATATATTTTTATTACTTACTGAATTGTAATTTTATTTGAAGAATTATAAATACATAATTTCCATATTAAAATATTCTTATATTTTAGATAAGCAAAGGAATATAAATAATAAAAATAAATCACATATTTGTTTTACTTACTAAATTGTTATTTTATTTGAAGAATTATAATTACTTAATTTCCATGTTAAAATATTCTTATATTTTAGATAAGCAAGAAATATAATTAATATTCATATATTCTTTTATCATCTTTCTCTTCCTTTTTTTTCATGGTAGACTTCTCTTCCTTTTTATTACTTGAAAAATTGTTATTTTATTTAGAGAATTATAATTACTTAAACTTTATGTTCAAATGTTTTTTTTATTTCTTTATATTTATTTTTTTACTTCATATTTTAATATAAAAAGTCTATTAAATATTAAATTAATAAACTTAAAAATGATGTAAGAATATATTTGATAAAAGAAAAAAATTAAATTATAAACGAGCTAAATAAATTGAGCTTAACTTCATTTTTTTCTCAAGCTAAAATTGAGTTAAGTGTTCGGTTTGACTCTAGTCATTTGCATTCTTAGTTGGAAGGGTATTGATCAGTTGAGGAGAGCTAGGTCAATAAGGTCTCAACTCACCAGAAACTCACGATACATACTTGAACTTAATGAGTTAATATTGAATCTTTTATTATATATTTGAATGTTTTAGGTTTAATGAGTTAGATTCAAATATTTAATTTAAAATTAAAAGATATGGTTAAATCAAAAGTAAAATTAAATGCTAATATATATATATATATATATATATATATATATATATATATATATGGGAAATGTTATATTTATAAACTTTTTTGTTTATAAACTCTTACAAACTACACTATGTTCTTCCGGGAGAACATAGTGTAATTTGTAAAAAAAATTCAAAAAAATTTGTAAACGGATCCTTCCTTATATATATATGAGGTAGGATCCTTTGACACCCTATCTGAGAGCCGTTAGATCAAAAAAGATCAACGACTCTAATTTGTAAGCATGTGACATCATTGGTCTTTTTTTATCTAACAGCTCTCAGATGAAGTGTTAAACTTTAAATTTGACACCAATGTCAAATGATCCTAAATGCTAATATATCTAATTTGATTCACCAAATCTTAACCGATTCAACGGTTAAGATTTGATAGTAACAAGTAGTAAGAAAAAAAGGTAGTAACTATAACATCTCCCATATATATATATATATATATATATATATATATATATATGTGGGAAAAATATTTCTACAGTTACTGCAAATAAGTTATATGCATTTATTCTCAAAACAACATCGTTTTGGAATTGAAATCTTAAAAAATTATAAATATAAAGACTGTTATAACCCTGAAATAAATTAAAATTATAAAAATACCATGATTTTCGTCCCAAAACAACGTCGTATTGGGTTTACTGCATATAACTTATCTGCATTAACTGCAGAAAAATGATATACATATATATATGAAGGAAGAGAGAGAAAAAGGGAATCATAACCATTAAAAGGTGAATCAATTAATATAAGAAAATAAATAAACAAAACGACGTAGTTTTGATGAGGCCGGAGATAAACTTATCTTAAGTTTCCGGAAAAATATTTTTTTCATATATATATATTGTTTTTGTTGTTATTAAAAGAATATCTATATATTTGTATATCAAATTGATTTATGAACTGATGGGTCGTGCATGAAAATTCAAACTCCTCATTTTTAAATAAGTTAAAAATTTCAGGTCTATAAGTTGCTAATGTACAATTGAGCTCTAAACTTTACATGAGCTGATTCGATTTATTTTTAATTTCATGATCAATTAATACTCACGTAAAAATAAATAGTCTTATATTCATTTTTAACCAATGATCTTATTATTTAATGACAACATAACTAATAAAGTTGAATCGTTAAATATAAATGAAATCAATAACTAGAATTAAGAGTGTATATATATAAAAATGTGCCTCTTTTTTTAAAAAAAAAAAAAAATTTGATAGGTCGATCTCATTTTATTTATTTTACAATATAAGATAATTTCTCTCCTAATATGTAAGAGAACTAAAGCCCATATATAAAAATAATAATAATAATAATAATTACTGCCTTATGTGCACATCAACAATTATTAGGAAAAAGGGACCCTCGCTAGTGTGATATCTACAAATCATGACGATCAATTTAATATCAAATCACAAGCATATCACCAATAATTAATAAATAAGGTCAAATTAAAATGCCACACAAGGTGGATGGGGGTAGCCGTGAAGCCAAACGATACAGGACTTGGATATTAATGTGTATGGGGTGGGGGTTGAGCAATTATATGAGCTAAGGCCATTTTGGTGGCCAATGAATGAGGACAGAACTGGATGATTCTGGTTTAACTATGATTTAGTTGGTAAGCCGAACTAGTTTGACCTGCTAATAATTATTTTTAGGGTTTTTCATTTCCATGAGGCATCATATTAATTGATTTGATTCTGTTATTATATGGTGGGAATATTATCTAATTAAATAAGATTGAGTATTTTAATTTAAATGTGCCTTTTTTCCCTTGGTAAGATGTCAACGTTTTTGTTGACATTCCAACTGAAATTT